TTTTAAAAGTTCAATTTTTTCAAAAATTTAAAATTTAATTAAAGAAAATTTTTAAAAATAACTTTTAAAATTATTTTTAAGTAAGTTTAAATAAAATTTAAACTTGTCTTTTCATGGTGGACCAGAGTCCAGAACCAGAATTGGTAATTTTTTCATGAGAAGCATAATTTTATGGTTAAATGCTAAATTTAGTCCCTCAACTTTACGAAATGAACATTTTTGGTCCCTCAACAATTTTTTGCACTTTTTTAATCCCTTGACTTTAAAAATTGCACAATTTTAGTCCTTCCGTCAGTTAAGTGTGATGTGACAGTTAAATAATTTTACGGCATTATCTTTTAATTTTTTTGATGATGTGGCAATAATCTATATTATAATTATATTATATAAATAAATAAAAATGCCACGTATATTAATATTTATATTTTAATTAAAAACAAATACAATTACTTTATTACCCTCACCCTCCCGAACCCTCTTCTTCCCCTTCCTTCTTTCTTTCTATTTCTTTCTTCCCTACCCTGGGTCGGTGCAAAGATGAACCCAGCAAACGAAACCCAGCCTTCCTCACCCTCCCAATCCCTCTTCTTCCCTTCTTCCTTTCTCTTTCTTTCTTTCCCACCCTAGGTCGGTGGAAAGCTGGGTTCATCGGAACCCAGCAGATGAAACCCAGCTGCTGGGTTTCGACGAACCCAGCTGCTGGGTTCGGTTGAAACCCAGCCTTGCTGGGTTCGTCGAAACCCCCTTGAGAACGGTGACGCGAGCGACCTTGCCGAAGGTGGAGAAGAGGGTATGGAGATCGGAATTGGTGAGGGTGTAGTCGAGATTGGAAACGTAAAGGGTCGATTTAGAAGGGGCCAATCCTATTGAGCCCTTGGATTTGCTATTGTTGTGGGTTCCAGTAGTAGTGGACGACAGCTGCTGGGTTTCAACCAATGTTTTTGAACTCGGCCCGACTCGGCCGGTTGAACCGGACCCGGATCTGAAAACGGGCCGGTTGAAGACTTCAACCCGTTTAAGTAAATGGCCCGTTGAAACCCGTCACACCCGTCACGCCCGCTGAACTCGTGCGACCCGCTACAACCGGCCGGGTTGAATTTTCATCATCTTCTCGTCGCCGATCGTCCGCCGATCTCCTCTTCTGTCGATCTCCACCGATCTCCTCGTCTGTCGATCGTCCACCGATCTCCTCGTCTGCCGATCGTCCACCGATCTTCTCTTCCGCGGATCGTCTGTCGATCTTCTCTTCTGCCGATCATCCGCCGATCTTCTCTTCCGCCGATTGCACGTCGATCTTCTCCTCCGTCGCTACACTTCTTCTCTTCCGTCGATCGTCTTCATCTACTTCATCTGTTCTGCTCAAAACAAAACAGATGGTCTTCGGGTGAAAGTAACAAATAAACGTAAACTTCAATAAAAATGCCAAAAAAAAATATTTTTAGTTGATTTTAGTTGACCGGTTGAACCGGTCGAGTGAACCGGTTCAACTTGTTGACCCAGACCCGATGGTCAAAACGGGCCAGCCACCGGGCTGGGTCCAAAAACATTGGTTTCAACCGAAACCCAGCCTTGCTGGGTTTCAACTTTTACCAAATTTAGAAACAAGAACAATTCTTGGACCATTTCTTTTCTCACATGCAAAAATCTGCTAATCTTCTCCACTCCAGATTAGCTCCCCAAATGCAATAATTATAGCAAAACAAGCCAATTCACGCATTAAGCACTTGATAGATACTATCTTCTCCCTAATTTAACAAAAAAATTGCAATTATCAAACAAACAGAAAGGATATGATCAAAATGTTTGCCAAAAGCCACTCAGAATCTCCCAGAAGAATTAATCAAGACCAAAACCATGCTACATTAACCAGAAAAGGCAAAAAGATCTAGCTACAGATGTTTGAGATCTGCGTATACCTTGCGTTTGATCTCGTGGACAGGATTTTGGGCATCTTCAATGTCGGGAACGTAAGAGGACGGGACCCGACCCGGATCCTTCCTGATGGCACCGGC